GCTTATCACTCTTTTTATGTAAAAGTATTATTTAAGAGAGAACAGAATCCCTTGTATGTAATTACATTTTTCTCTCCTAGCAATGTGTTATATAAAACGTTACATTCAAGATATATACAATAATTAGTTCTGTTGTAAGTCAAGTACTTAAGTTCTTCACTGTGTTACTGTAACTAGGACTTCAGTTCTTCACTGTGTTACTGTAACTAAGACTTAAGTTCTTCTCTGTGTTACTGTAACTAAGACTTAATTTCTTCACTGTGTTACTGTAACTAGGACTTAAGTTCTTCACTGTGTTGCTGTAACTAAGACTTAAGTGCTTAATTGTGTTACTGTAACTAGTAGTTAAGTTCTTCACTGGGTTACTGTAACTAGGCCTTACGTTCTTCACTGTGTTGCTGTAACTAAGACTTAAGTGCTTAATTGTGTTACTGTAACTAAGTCTTAAGTTCTTCTCTGTGTTACGGTAACTAAGACTTAAGTTCTTCACTGGGTTACTGTAACTAGGACTTAGGTTCTTCACTGTGTTCCTGTACTAAGACTTAAGTTCTTCCCTGTGTTACTGTAACACAGTGAAGAGCTTAAGTCTTAGTAACAGTAACACAGTGAAGGACTGAAGGCCGAGTTACAGTAACACACTGAAGAAATTAAGTCTTAGTTACCGTAACACAGTGAAGAAGTTAAGTCCTAGTTACTGTAACACAGTGAAGAATTTAAGTCTTAGTTACTGTAACTAGGACTTAAGTCCTTAACTGTGTTACTGTAACTAGGACTTAAGTCCTTAACTGTGTTACCGTAACTAGGACTTAAGTTCTTCACTGTGTTACTGTAACTAAGACTTAATTTCTTCACTGTGTTACTGTAACTAGGAGTTAAGTTCTTCACTGTGTTACTGTAACTAAGACTTAAGTTCTTCACTGTGTTACTGTAACTAAGACTTAAGTTCTTCACTGTGTTACCGTAACTAGGACTTAAGTTCTTAACTGTGTTACTGTAACTAAGATTTAAGTTCTTCACTGTGTTACTGTAACTAGGACTTAAGTTCTTCACTGTGTTACTTTAACTAGGACTTAAGTCCTTAACTGGGTTACTGTAACTAGGATTTAAGTCCTTAACTGTGTAACTGTAACTAGGACTTAAGTCCTTCTCTGTGTTACTGTAACTAGGAGTTAAGTTCTTCACTGTGCTACCGTAACTAGGACTTAAGTCCTTAACTGTGTTACTGTAACTAGGATTTCTTGTACTCTATTGTTGATGATTTATTTGTGCAAATTGGGACTTTTGGACAATGTTTTTCCCTAACAATTTTTTTGTGTTAATTAAAAAAAGGGACAGTAATAAACAAAATTTTCTTGTTAAAAGGATCAACCAACCACAATCATAAATTCACAAATTCTGAATAATTTCTCAAGGCTCAGAAAACAGATGTTTTAAATTTTATCTCTTTAGTGGCCCTGAAGACTTCAAATAACACCTTCTGTATTTGCCGTTATTAGTGCCCCTCCCCCTTTTTCATGAGGAATTGAAATTACAATGGTGTATATAAACTACTTCCTCAGACCTGACCAGGCCCAGTCAATAATTTAGAGTACTTACACTTTTAAAGCAGAGAATTAATGTCTGGTGATTATGGTTGATCTTTATGTGAAGTGGATGAAACATTTGATATCCAAACCTCCAGCCGTGTTGGGATGTTGATAATGTCCTTCTGTTAAACTGATGCAACAGTTGCACAACTTGTCCTGTCAGAACTCACAATTTATTATCCCAAAAATTGTTCCTGTTTAAGCTATGTTTTTACCCTGGATGCTAATTACATTGAAAAAAGTATATATTTTGGTCGATCCAACAATACTATTGATTTCCGATTTACTATCTGAGTCAGTGGTGAGACCCTGTGGGCCGATACACTTCACAGTTACTGAGTCAGTGGTGAGACCCTGTGGGCCGCTACACTTCACAGTTACTATCTGAGTCAGTGGTGAGACCCTGTGGGCCGATACCCTTCACAGTTACTATCTGAGTCAGTGGGGAGACCCTGTGGGCCGATACACTTCCCAGTTACTATCTGAGTCAGTGGTGAGACTCTGTGGGCCGATACACTTCACAGTTACTATCCGAGTCAGTGGTGAGACCCTGTGGGCCGCTACACTTCACAGTTACTATCTGAGTCAGTGTTGAGACCCTGTGGGCCGATACACTTCAAAGTTACTATCTGAGTCAGTGGTGAGACCCTGTGGCCCGATACACTTCACAGTTACTATCTGAGCCAGTGGTGAGACCCTGTGGGCCGATACCCTTCACAGTTACTATCTGAGTCAGTGGGGAGACCCTGTGGGCCGATACACTTCCCAGTTACTATCTGAGTCAGTGGTGAGACCCTGTGGCCCGATACACTTCACAGTTACTGAGTCAGTGGTGAGACCCTGTGGGCCGATCCACTTCACAGTTACTATCTGAGTCAGTCGTGACACCCTGTGGGCCGATTCCCTTCACAGTTACTGAGTCAGTGGTGAGACCCTGTGGGCCGATACCCTTCACAGTTACTATCTGAGTCAGTGGGGAGACCCTGTGGGCCGATACACTTCCCAGTTACTATCTGAGTCAGTGGTGAGACCCTGTGGGCCGATACACTGCAAACTTGTACCAAGAGTGCTTGTTTAGTCTGTCAGGACTGAAGATCATGGATCAAGAACAAAGTCTCTGTTTTTATTGACAAAGCATAACATTTGAATCACAAATACCTCCGTATCAAAGTACAACTCCATCACTGATATCAGGTTTCTATTACTGTGTGTGATTGACAGTTACTTTATGGGGATCTAACTTTGTGCCTCATGGCTTTAACTTTACGTTTGTTCTTAAATCTGTTCTCTGTCACCTTGATTCAGTTTGTGTCAAAGACCATAAAATCACTACCAAGGAAAAAATACCTGTATAAAGTCTGCTAGTACAATATACAAGAGATAAACATAATGGCTGATTTTAATGATGCAATACTTGTTGTTGTACATAATGATTTTACTTGCATATATTATTACAGAATATGCCAACTTTGAGAATTTAATTTCTAACTCTTAAAACCTTAAGGTGGTACTCCTTTGAATGTAAGTTTTTATATATATGTTCTCTTGGCATAAGATAGGGAGTTTAAGATAGGGAGTTGTAGATGGGAGTACTAGAGTCATTCATTTGTCGAACTTTTTTCATTTTTTAGCAACATGTTTTTCATTGTTATTGGAAATTAAATGGAAATATTTGATGTATATATGTATATATTGAAACATTGTCTAACATGCATATTGAAAATATGTATAAAACTTTGTATGAAATTGTGAATTTTGTGTATATAAATATAGTATAATGCAGACATGTGTATTAAAATACATGCATGGTCTGTATTAGCAACAGACGTGAACAATGTATATAAAGATGTATTTTAGATATGATTTTGAAATTCTGATAGAGCTGAGAAATTACAATTATTGACATGAATGTCAGTTTAATAATTTCAATTTATGTGACAACAAGTTTGATGACAATATCTGAAACATGACCCAATGTTGTATCTAGTTTTATTTTGTACATGATGGAAATTACGGAATATTGAGATCGTATTTTGTATATCATGAGATAAAATATATGTATGAAATCTAATTTCAAATGTCTTTGTGTTCATTTACAGAATCTCAATACTTGCAATAATAATTCCATAAGTTGAATATGAAATAGCCGGAGTCAGCAATACTAATTCCATAAGTTGAATATAAAATAGCCGGAGTCAAAGGTCAACGTGGGTTAAAAGCTTTAAAATTAAAATTTCATATTTCAAACAACGATTTCGTAAGAACCATTAGAATGTCCTGTGTTCTCGTTACCAAATTTGGTCCGAAGTTACCTATATGTCAGTTTCATGAAACAAAAGAAACAGGTGAGCGATACAGGCCCTCTGGGCCTCTGATTTATATTTACTATGATATCAACAGCCCTATCCCAATAAGAACCTCCCTCTTCCTAAGGGTACCATCCATCCAAGTCAGTGTTACAGGCTCCAGTTATACATAGCTTTCATTGAACCCCCTTTGTGCAAGGCACAATATACCGGTATTTGGCTCTGACCTCTTTGGGAGGAGGACACATCCACCGTTTATACAAAAAACTTAATCCGTTTTGCCGGAGGATGCTTCAGACCAGATTTGTTTTAAATCCCTCTATTCACATAGAAGAAATATTTTGAAGACTTTGCCCTAGTGGGCCCCATCCCCCTTCCCCAACATGTGCCACGCCCTCCGTTTATGCAAAAATGAGTCCCCTTGCCTAAAGATGCTCTTAACCAAATTTGGTCAAGAAATGTATGCATTCTAAATGGGAAAAGAAGTTTAAAAAAGAAATATACCTCTATTTCACCTTCTTAGCCCCAGCCCTGTTTCCAGCGGAACTACGCTTCGTTTATAAAACAAAACAAGTCCTCGCTAAAGGACGATTAGACAAAATTTGGTTAATTTCCATCCATTCGTACAGAAAGAAGATTCCGCTCCTCCCGGGGGAGGGGTTTAGGCGGTAGGCACATCCTCCGTCTATATAAATACACCAGGCCAAATTTAGAACCCACAGTCGAAAAGTTGACGGACGAGCGACAGACGCCGCGCCACGACATACGCTCGCCGTCCTTCGGGCAAAGTGAGTTAATAAGACCATATTGACGTCAGCCACTCTTGATTACCAAACAACGCAGGATTTCAACACTGATTAAAATAAGGGATTGCATTAGTATGTGAAGTATGTAAAGTTACGTACATGTATATCAACAAAAAATTAAGAAGTTCAAAACTGTGGTTAAAAAATCCTACCAACCTTCAGACAAAACTTTTCAAAGTCTGTAAACAAAAGCACACCAGGGTTATCACAAATGCTTACAACAAAGCTAAAAACGGGGTATTGCGGAGTGAGGCGTAAGGAATTCAAAAAGTAAAGGAGAAAATATGCAGATTTAAGGTGTTGTACGAGTTTTATTGAAATCGTGTCCTCAGTAGGGAGGACAAGCCTGCTGTGACGGGGTGGAATACAGTGCTGGGTCAGCACGCTAATCCATAAGAACCTTGAGCATTCACTCAGCCTCATCACCTAAGGAGACGAAAACACGTCATCGCTACTTCCTAATATATATACTTGGCAGTGGCAACTTCTCGTTTAAAGGTGTATTATGGATTTCACCGGGCAGAACGCGGGAAATAGCGGCAAACTGCCCCTTCTCACGTAGACTGAGGTAGATAGGAAAGCTCTTCAGTGTGTCGGCGTCTCTACCGCTGATCGCGAGAATTGCCTCTGGCATCACACACGCATACCTCCGGGTCTGTGGCCTGTTCATCACGCATCCTGGGAATGAAAAGTGATTAATTAAGTTAACGGCAGTTTCAAGAACTAACAATTCATTTCGTTTTAGCAGTTTGTTTTTACAGCAGTACAGCATGTCAAAACAGTTGTACTGATGTCTTTGAATTAGCTAAGGACATGTCAAACGGCAAATTGTTAATATGGCAAATCTACAATATATAACAAATATGACACAAAAAACTCAACACAATGATGACATTCATGTCAATAGGTACACGATCATCATAATCTAAGCATAATCAATCTGCTTGCCTTATTGCAATGCTTCAGATTGTAATTTGTCCAGTTCTATCTACTCTGTTACAGCGGTGTCTCCCTATGCTTGGCATGCTAAGGACCAAAAGAAGCCTACATACCAAACACGAGAATGGTCTGTTTAAGAACATCTGGGAAATAATAATAAAACGCTTCACCTGTCGAAATCCAAGATACTGATGTAGGATAAGCGGGACGGTTTCGACTTTCCTTTCTTGCCAGCAACAAGCAAGCTTGTCCTACCTGCGGGGATTAAATCTCCCATTAGACGCCATTACTTCCGTGGTAGATGTCGACTGCTGACGGACAAACGTAAAACAAGGGTTTCCAGGGACGCAGGTTGATGACGCCTATCAACAAAATGTATGGTCGACAGGAGACTGTTTCTTTGTGTGATATAAAGGTCGATGTTTGTACGATATGAAGGTCGATGTTTATGTGTGATATGAAGGTCGATGTGTGTGTGATATGAAGGTCGATGTTTATGTGATATAAAGGTCGATCTTTGCGTGATATGAAGGTCGACCTTTGTGTGATATAAAGGTCGATGTTTATGTGATATGAAGGTTGATGTGTGTGTGATATGAAGGTCGATGTTTATGTGATATAAAGGTCGATCTTTGTGTGATATGAAGGTCGATGTTTATGTGATATGATGGTCGATCTTTGTGTGATATTAAGGTTGATATTTATGTGATAAAAAGGTCGATGTTTGTGTAATATAAAGGTCGATGTCTATGTGATATGAAGGTCGATCTTTGTGTGATATGATGGTCGATGTTTATGTGATATATAGGTCGATCTTTGTGTGATATAAAGGTCGATCTTTGTGTGATATGAAGGTCGACCTTTGTGTGATATAAAGGTCGATGTTTATGTGATATGATGGTCGATCTTTGTGTGATATTAAGGTTGATATTTATGTGATAAAAAGGTCGATGTTTGTGTAATATAAAGGTCGATGTCTATGTGATATGAAGGTCGATCTTTGTGTGATATGAAGGTCGATGTGTGTGTGATATGAAGGTCGATGTTTATGTGATATAAAGATCGATCATATGATGGTCGATCTTTGTGTGATATTAAGGTTGATATTTATGTGATAAAAAGGTAGATGTTTGTGTAATATAAAGGTCGATGTCTATGTGACATGAAGGTCGATCTTTGTGTGATATAAATGTCAATCTTTGTGTGATATGAAGGTCGATCTTTGTGTGATATCATGGTCGATCTTTGAGTGATATGAAGGTCGATGATTGTGCGATATGAAGGTCGATGTGTGTGTAATATGAAGGTCAATCTTTGTGTGATATGATGGTCGATCTTTGTGTCATATGTAGGTCAATCTTTGTGTGATATGAAGGTCGATGTGTGTGTGATATGAAGGTCGATCTTTGTGTGATATGAAGTCGATCTTTGTGTGATATGAAGGTCTTTGTTTGATATAATGTCTGACTTTTGCAGGAAAGAAGGGTCGATGTTTGTGCGATATGAAGGTCGATCTTTGTTTGATATAATGTCTGACTTTTGCAGGAAAGAAAGGTCGATGTTTGTGCGATATGAAGGTCGATCTTTGTGTGATATGATGGTCGATCTTTGTGTGATATGAAAGTCGATGTTTATGTGATATGAAGGTCGATCTTTGTGTGATATGATGGTCGATCTTTGTGTGATATGAAGGTCGATCTTTGTGTGATATGATGGTAGATCTTTGTGTGATATGAAAGTCGATGTTTATATGATATGAAGGTCGATCTTTGTGTGATATGAAGTCGATCTTTGTGTGATATGAAGGTCGATGTTGGTGCGATATGAAGGTCGATCTTTGTTTGATATAAAGGTCGATCTTTGCGTGATAGAAAGGTCGACGTTTGTGCGATATGAAGGTCGATGTTTGTGTGATATAAAGGTCGATGCTTGTGTGATAAGGAGGTCGACCTTTGTGTGATATGATGGTCGATGTTTATGTGATATGAAGGTCGATGTGTGTGTGATATGAAGGTCGATCTTTGTGTGATATAAAAGTCGATCTTTGTGTGATATGAAGGTCGATCTTTGTGTGATATGAAGGTCGATGTTTATGTGATATGAAGGTCGATGTGTGTGTGATATGAAGGTCGATCTTTGTGTGATATAAAAGTCGATCTTTGTGTGATATGAAGGTCGATATTCGTGTGATATAAAAGTCGATCTTTGAGTGATATGAAGGTCGATGATTATGCGATATGAAGGTCGATGTGTGTGTGATATGAAGGTCGATCTTTGTGTGATATGAAGGTCGATGTTTATGTGATATAAAGGTCGATCTTTATGTGATATGATGGTCGAAGTTTATGTGATATAAAGGTCGATGTTTATGTGATATGATGGTCGATCTTTGTGTCATATGTAGGTCAATCTTTGTGTGATATGAAGGTCGAAGTGTGTGAGATATGAAGGTCGTCTTTGTGTGATGTGATGGTCGATCGTTGTGTGATATGAAGTCGATGGTTGTGTGATATGAAGGTCGATGTATGTGCGATATGAAGGTCAATCTTTGTGTGATATGAAGGTCGATGTATGTGCGATATGAAGGTCAATCTTTGTGTGATATGAAGTTCGATGTTTATTTGATATAAAGGTCGAGCTTTGTGTGATATGAAGGTCGATATTCGTGTGATATAAAAGTAGATCTTTGAGTGATATGAAGGTCGTCGTTTGTGCGATATGAAGGTCGACCTTTGTTTGATATAAAGGTCGATCTTTGCGTGATATAAAGGTCGATGTTTGTGCGATATGAAGGTCGATCTGTGTGTGATATAAAGGTCGATGCTTGTGTGATATGAAGGTCGATCTTTTGTGTGAGATAAAGGTCGATCCTTGTGTGATATAAAGGTCGATGTTTGTACGATATGAAGGTCGATGTTTATGTGATATGATGGTCGATCTTTGTGTCATATGTAGGTCAATCTTTGTGTGATATGAAGGTCGAAGTGTGTGTGATATGAAGGTCGTCTTTGGGTGATGTGATGGACGATCGTTGTGTGATATGAAGTCGATGGTTGTGTGATATGAAGGTCGATGTATGTGCGATATGAAGGTCAATCTTTGTGTGATATGAAGGTCGAAGTGTGTGAGATATGAAGGTCGTCTTTGTGTGATGTGATGGTCGATCGTTGTGTGATATGAAGTCGATGGTTGTGTGATATGAAGGTCGATGTTTATGGGATATGAAGGTCGATCTTTTGTGTGATATAAAGGTCGATCCTTGTGTGATGAGATGGTCGATCTTTGTGTGATATGAAGTCGATCTTTTTGTGATATGAAGGTTGATGTTTGTGCGATATAAAGGTCGATGTGTGTGTGATATGAAGGTCGATCTTTGTGTGATATGTTATGTGATATGATGGTCGATCTTTGTGTGATATGATGGTAGATCTTTGTGCGATATGAAGGTCGATCTTTATGTGATATGAAGGTCGATGTTTATGTGATATTAAGGTAGATCTTTGTGTGATATGATGGTCGATCTTTGTGTGATATGATGGTCGATCTTTGTGTGATATAAAGGTCGATGCTAGTGTGATATGAAGGTCGATCTTTGTGTGATATGATAGTCGATCTCNGTTTATGTGATATGAAAGTCAATCTTTGTGTGATATGATGGTCGATCTTTGTGTGATATGAAGGTCGATGTGTGTGTGATATGAAGGTCAATATTTGTTTGATATAATGGTCGATCTTTGTGTGATATGAAGGCCAATCTTTGTGTGATATGATGGTCGATCTTTGTGTGATATGATGGCCGATGTTTATGTGATATAAAGGTCGATGTTTATGTGATATTAAGGTAGATCTTTGTGTGATATGAAGGACGATGTGTGTGTGATATGAAGGTCGATCTTTATGTGATATGAAGGTCGATGTTTATGTGATAAAAAGGTCAATCTATGTGTGATATGATGGTCGATCTTTGTGTGATATGAAGGCCAGATATGAAGGTCGATGTGTGTGTGATATGAAGGTTAATATTTGTTTGATATAATGGACGATCTTTGTGTGATATGAAGTCGATCTTTGTGTGATATGAAGGTCGATCTTTTTGCGATATGAAGGTCGATCTTTGTTTAATATAAAGTCCGAC